GACAACCGGTATAGAAAGTAGTTTTTACATTGGTTATATGTGGAACTAGTGTAGAAAGTTTTATATCAAATCTAATTATTTACAAAAATGCCACCGCTCACACTTTTCACACCAGTTCCTTTTTAACTAGTGTAAAATGTGTTTTTTTATAGTAGTGTATATTCATGAGTTTAACGAATCATTTATAAAGCCCAACTATAAATTAGAGAATTTATGAAGATGGTGAACAAGAACACACACAAAAACACACAAGTTATTCTCATTTATTGTTTATCAACTTTTTGAGTTCACATTCATTACAAATGATCTTTATTGATTATATCAACTCTTAAAGAGGGTATTTAATAGTAATATTTCATTCTTAAACTTATTCTGTTCATCTCTATCTTTCTATCTTATAATAGGGGATCTTAAACTCGTGGAGTTTAAGAGGGTTATTTCATTACTTTTGTAATGATGAGTGACTTAGACTCTAGTGTGCGTCTAGAATTGTACTTAGGCTACCAAGATCCAAGACTAGTCTTGGTGGAGAAAATCTCAAGTGGTACTTAAAGATTGGACGTAAGCTTAAGTGGTTATAGCTAAACTAAGATAAACATTTATGCAAGCTTCTCTTATTTACTCTCTATGATTGGTGATATCATTCTAAACTCATCTCTTTAATTTTAATTTTTAGCCAAATTTTTATAAAGCCCAATTTACCCCTCTTTGGTAGACTTTCAATCTCTTCTACTAATCATGATCATTATATTTTTATCTATATTTTTTTAAGGGAAAATCACATCCAAGGACCTTTGAAGAAAGTTATTAAAAGGCAAGTACCAAGATAGAATGGATTGTTGTTACAAGGGAACATGAACTTGTTTTTTCTTGAATAATGACTTATTATTGGTCTTCTTTTCTATGAATAACATTCTTCACAAGTCTTGAGATGTGATTCTACCATTTTCCAATCCATTTAGTTCCTTTCCAACAAGCAAAAGAGACCTAAATTATTTGTTAAATACTTAAATGTGTAATAGAATACATTTTTTACATACTTATCTATGTCAATTAGGACTATTTTATTAAGATTTTATTAGCCAAAGTGCACACACATTGTATTAGATTTGAAAACTTACCTAAGTGCTTAATGCACTAGGGATGTTTTGATCCAAAAATGAACTTTTGAGAAAATGTACAAAAAAATTGACAAAATATATTTTATATCTAGAAGATGAGTGGTTAAATTAGATTTTTGAAATTCATTTTAGCTTGGGAGTAATTAAATAAAAAGTCAACACTTTCTTAAGTGTCTTAGTTTGACTTAGTTTTCAGTTTGCCTTTGTGAAATTTTTTATGTAATTTTATGCAGCCTGAAACTTTGTCATTTTAATAAATTATTCCTTTTAATTATGAATTTAATTATGGACTTTAATTATATTTTATTATGTCACATATTATTTAATTGAATTATGTGATTTATGTGACATAGGTGGCATGTGACTTGTACATCAATTGGGCAATTGACGTCAACACTTCATAAGGTCAAAGCTGAAATTTGGGCATGATTTATGCTACCTTTGGAGATTAAATTAGCTTAAATAATGTAGATAACACATGTGAAATTACACACACATTCGAATCATCTACAAGCCAATAGGAGAATACCACCTTGCAAATGTGACAAGGCTCCATTTCCTTTTTAATTTCTTTTCCTATTATTTTAATTAGGTTCAGTTGATGGAAAACTCTAATTACACATCCCATTCAGCCCTATTTCAAATCAACAAGCCATTTCATTCATCTTTTACATTTTCTCTCTTTAGTTCTTGGTGTCTTTGAATTTCTCTTCCTTCTCTCTACACTAAAATTTCATCTAGCACCCATATCACTCTCTTTTCACCATCAGATCCATTAAAATCTTCCACCATTCTCTTCCCCTATCATGGACGACCATACCCTAATCATCTAGAAGAGATTTGAAGATCAAATCATCAAGAAGCATGGATCATCTTCCATGGCTAGCATGTGTTCGTGGAGGAAGTAAAGTGTTCTTGATGTTTTTTAACTTGAATCTCCCTGGAATCCTTAAGGAGAGTTGATGGAAGAAGAGTTTTGAAGTCTTTACTTGGCTAAGCTCAACTATTTCTTCATCTTGTTTCAATTTTATTAGAATACTATGACTATGGGTGATTGTAGTTCAATTTGACTTTAATAGTTTGTGATAATTGGTTGTGTTGGAACATAATTGTTGAAATAATTTTCATTCCTTTTAGTTTCTAGAATTTCAACCACTTGGAGTAATATCATGTCAATGTGATTTTTCAAGTGATGTTTAGTCTTGCATTAACCTTACATGTATTATGTTTAGTGAATGTTTGATTAAATGCTGAGTTGCATAGTTTTGTGCTTGAGTTACCTATAGACCATGGCTATTAGGGAGTGAAATACAATTAAACACTTGGTTAATTTTAAAACTAAGCTAGTGACACTAGTACAAAATATGAAATTTACAGGGTACTTTTTACATCGGTTGGAAGGCAAATGGTGTAAAAAATTTAAGGTGGTGGCATTTTTGTATTATGGTGAAGTATTCTACAGTTTTTACATCAGGTGGCCCTTCATCTGATGTAGAAATACACTTTCTACATTGGGTCAAGGGCCACCTGATGTAAAAACTCACGATTTTATATCGATTGGAAGCCTAACTAATGTAAAAGGTTCCAGGTTATTTTTTTTTTAATTTTTTGTATATAATATTTAATATTGGCTTTATAACTGATGTAGAAATTTTAGTTTTTACATCAGGTGTATAACCAATATAAAAAGATGGGATATTCTATATCCCTTGGAACAACATCGCCTGTTTAACTACTGTAAAAAGTCATTTTTAACCACTATAAAAAGTCATTTTTGTACTAATGTGAGACAACTTAAGGGCTTGTTATAAGCACTTAGGGAATTGAATTAGTGAAGATAGGTTGCTTGAGATAATTATCTTAATTAAACACTTTTTCCAGCTAAGGAAGAAAGGTTGAGTGAGTTTCCATAATCAATTAGAGACTAGAATTCTTCCATTAACAACACCCTAGGGTTCCTACTTTAATAGGAAGACCAACCATCACACTCTAGTTTAGTTTGCATTTAATTTCATTAGGCAATTAGTTAACAATCTCATTCAATGGTTAATCTATTCACTAATTTTTCTAGCCTAGGTAGTTAGAACCTCCTCCTTGAGATAAGACTTAGGGTTGGCCTTGTATTACATTAGGATTAGCTTTAGTTAATTTTGAGGGTTGAGTGACATGATCACATCAAAATTTGGCACTGTTGCCGGGGAGACTAGGTTTAGCTCTTACGATAGTTTTCTTGGTGCTTAATTTGCAATTTTTGTGTTTCTAGAAAATTTTTTCAAAAATCATAAAAATTTCTGTTTTCAATTTTTATAAGTTTTTTCTCTGTGTGTTATGTGTTTTTTTATCATTTTTTAAAAAAATAAAAAAATATTTGTGCAACTTTCGTTTTCCTAGTGTACTTAACAGTGCTCTATTTTCAGTGTTTCTAGGCCGATTTCAAAAATATACCGGGAACGAGTCTGGAATAATTTGGACTTGAAATTTTGATACCTTGAAAGATATATCTCTTAGCTTCATTTTAAAACTGGTTTGGTCAATTTTGAACTTGAAAATTGATTTTTTCACATTTTACAGTCTTACAAGGTACAGGAAGCTTTTTTAGAAGATTCCTAAACCTGGTAGCAAATTTGAGTGGGCATACTTTTCACATTAAGCGTCCAAATTGAGTGGTTCAAGTCTCAGTTTTTTCCTTACTGTCTTATCTTTATTTTCATAGTTGATCATTTTTCTTGGCTCTGGCTTTGTCCTGCTGGAACGTTTGTTGGAAGATCACATGGTCATATGGACGAAACCCTGTTTTTCAAGAACCGTGGACCAAATTGTGAAAAATTATGGAAATGGCTGAGAAATAATTTTGAGCTAAAATTTTTATATAAGTTTCCTATGTTTATCTTTTGTCTCTCATAAAAGTTTCATGGGAATTTCTTGTGTGGATTAGCTGCTACAAAATCGACAAGTTTACTATCTCTAGAGAGCAAGCTGCAGAGTTTCCAAAACAAGCAAAGGGTCTTCAAATGAGCATTTCTAACTCTTTGTCCTTTACTTTTCAGTGATTTTCATTTTTGTGTGGTTAACTTTTTGTTTTTTGAGTTTAAAGAAACACAGAAAATTTTTCCCTTGCTTTTGTGTTTTGATTTGATTTTTGATTTTTGTTTCTTGTTTCTAGAGCCACTTGGGGTACATTTTGTCTCTCTTTTGAGCCTTGTGTTGTGTTGTTTGTCTTACTCTTGGCTGAATTCTTTGGTTTATGACCCATGCCAATCCTAAAACATTTGTTGAAGTAGATCTCAAGATTGAAAAAAAAACTCTTCAGGAACTCAAGAGATCACAACCACAAATTGATAATCATCTAGTGGTCAATTCATTAATAGAAAGGGTAGATCCTCTTGTGGGTAAGGTAATGGTCAAGGCAATGGCCAAGGGTTAGGAAACAACAATGAAAACAATAGAACTATGGGTCACAACTTGCATGATGATGCACACATCAATAGAGAATTTGTAGAAATTTATAATCCTCAAGATGAGAGATCCATTAGGCAATTGACTTCCCCTAATTGAAATGATAATCCTTGTGGGTTGTACATGGCTCCTAATGTGAACATGTTTGAACTTAAACCTTCATTAATAAATACTTTGCCTAAATTCCTTGGATTATCAAGTGAGGATTGCCATAGATTCTTGCATATTGTCTTTCTTGTGTGTGATACTATGAAGCCCATAAATGTGAATGTTGATGAAGTGCAAGCCAAAGCTTTTGTCTTCTCCCTTGAAGGCTTAGCTAAAGAATGGTATTTCAATTATCCCTTCCATATTAGAGTTTCTACTTGGGCTTAACTTAGAAGATTGTTTTTGAAAAAGTTCTTTCCCTCTTCTAAAGTTACAAATTTGAGGAAACAAATTTATGAGATTGAATAGGGTTTTAATGAATCCTTTTATGAATATTGGGCAAGGTTCCAAGGGTTACTTGCTAAGTGCCCTCACCATCAAATTTCTAATGAGAACCTTGTAGAATATTTTTATGAAGGACTTTGTGAAAAATATAAGGTTTTCATAAATACTGCTAGTGGGGGAGCTTTAATTGATTTAACACATACCAAGGCTTGGGAATTGATAAAAAAGATAGCAACTAATGGTGCTCAATATAGCACAAGAAATAGAAAGGTGAATTTCATTTCAAGCACATTGGATGACAACCAATTGGATATTTTGGTCTTGAAGATTGGTAAGATGTTGGCTTCTCAATTGAGCCAAGTTCAAAATGTGAACAATGTAAGTACTTCTTCTCAAGCTCTGGTTCCTTACACATGTATTTTTTGTGATTCTCCTATACATGTTGAGTCTAATTGCCCTATTAAGTTTGAGCATATTCAAGTTAATGCTATGTTTAATGGGACAACCAAGGAAACTGTGGGAACACTTATAATTCTTCTTTAAGGAATCATCCTAATTTTTCTTATGCTAACTCAAGTAGAGCTTTGCAAGACAGCCATCCAAGGGGACCATTTCCTATTGCTTAAGGCTGTGACATGCAACTTCAATTTTCAGGGAGTAATTCTAATTCCTATCAACAAAGAGGTAATGCTTTCAACTCCAACTTTAATCCTAACTCCAACTCCAATAGGCAAATTCCCATTGAATCTCCTTCTTCTAGTACTTCCAATGAGGTGTAATTTCTAGCTAAGCAAATGATAGAGATGAATCACATGTTTAGGGGAGCTTATGATAATTTGAATAACAAAGTTGATGCTTTAACTTCCTAAATGAGCATGTTTTCTAATCATGTTAGTTAATCTAATGCACAAGCACCTACATTTCTAAGCAACACGATTGCTAACCCTAAAGCACCCATTAATGCTATTACTTTGAGAAGTGGTAAGGAAGTGGGTAAAAATGCTGAGAAGGAAAGAAAAGAGGGAGAGGTGATGGAAGTGCATGATGACTCCTTGCATAATGACTTGTCTTTACAAGCTTCTTCTAGTGTTGCTAATGCTCAATTATGTAGGGATGATAAGGAGGAGGATATTGAGGAGATTGAGATGGAGAAACCTCCATAAAAATGCCAAGGAGATAGCAAAATAAAATTCTAGAATTGGTGTAAGAGGAGAAAAAGGAAGATGAGGCTAAGAAAGAGCAATAAATTTTAAGGGAACTTCCTTTTCCTCAAGCTCAAGTGATCAAGCATCAACCAAAGGAGTTCATCACAAAGAGGTAATTGATTTTTTCAATAAAATTAATATGAATATTCCTCTTCTTGATGTTGTGAAAAATTTTTCAAAGTATGCAAAATTTCTCAAGGATTGTTGCACTAACAAGAGAAAGTTTACACCAAATGCTAGGGATCAATTACCCTTTTCTATTAGTGCAATAATGAAACTCTAATTATCAATCAAGTGTGAGGATCTGGGTTCTTTTACCATTCCATGCAAAATAGGAAATATCATGTTTTCTACTGCTTTAATTGATCTTAGGGCGGCTATTAATGTCATGTCTTTGTCTATTTATACTTCTTCATAGCTTGATTGCATGCATAAGACCCTAATGATCTTCCAACTAGTGGATAAGACTTTAAGAAAACCATTTGGTATTATTGAGAATTTAATTGTTTGTGTAAAAGACTTGCTATTCCCGATTGACTTCTATGTGCTAGATATGTCTAATGGGGGAAAAGGGGATGATGTGTTGATTCTTGCCAGACCTTTTATGAGAACAGCTCGTACCTTAATTGACATGGATAAGGGTACCTTGATTTTAAAATATAGGGATGATCAAATCAATTTCAATATCTATGAGGCAATGAAGATACCTTTTGAGGATTATTCCATACTTGATGTAAATGCCATTGACACTTTACTTGATGAAGCTATTGAGCACTATGCATTTCCCTCACTTACTCATGAATCTATACTTACTACTACTTATGTCTCTTGCTCTTGCATTGATACTTTTAGCGCCAATATTTCTTAGATGTTGATGCATACTTGAATGGTACCTCTTCTCATGAATTACGTGATAATGATAAAATGTCTACTATGCTTAAACTTAATGGGCATAAGAAGGGTATTGTTTCTTGTGATGTAGGTACACACACTAAAGGGGCTAATCATAAAGAATTCTCTCTACTTGAGCTTGATGTCCATAAGGTTCCCAAGCTATTGGAGGAAAATTCTTCTCTTGAAAGCCCTAATGCCATGTACTCACTTAGCATTTTGGAGGAGATGCAAGCAGTGAGGACTTGAGCATGGAATTGAAGATAGCTCAAGAAGTCAAGGAGGTTGATTGCATAATTCTTCCATTGCTTTTCATGATATTCTTGGTGATAGTTTCTCTTCCATGCTTTCTTGTACTTGTGATGTTGGCAATTTATGCATGGTTTGTCAAGAAACTTTTTCCTCTTACTTGAATTCTTTTTCTTTAGACCAAAACATGCTTGAGGAAGGTTCTTTTATTGATTTTGTAGGTGTACAAGAGGATGTCACCAAGAATAATGATGATTTTAATGGATTTGTCATTGAGGTGAATGAGGCCATGATTATTCAAGAAGGAAACCAACAAGTTTAAGCTTTTGAATTTCAAGATTTTCCTCACACACTTGAAGAGCTTGTTCTTGACTCATCAAAAGAGATCATTTCATGTGATCTAGAACTGGATAAAGAAAGGGAGTTGTTTGCTTTGAATTTCATTAATTCATTTCATTTCATTAATGGTGTATTTATTCATTCACCACTTGATTTAAATCCATGAATTGTGTTGTTTGATTTTCCAATTGTGCAAAGTCAATGCTTTGTTGCTTATATTTTAAGACCTTTGCCAATTGAGCCTAAGCCTTCGAAGGCTTCAAAGGAGAATTTTCCCATCAATGCTTATAGAAGGATCTCAATTTCATCATTATAGATTCCACCATCTATTTTGAGCCACCATGATAAGGTTGTATCTCTCTAACCTTGAGCTTTTACTTTACTTTATTTGATATATTTGATGATTGGGTATAGTTCAAGTGTGGTGCAAATGAACCTAGTAGGATATAGATTTAATTGATTTTTTTGTTTGTTTGTTTTATTTTAGAAAAAAATTTTGCACCACACTTTTGTTATGAATGCATCCATTTTGATCTTACCTTATCCCATGACTAGTCTATTCATTGAGGACAATGTATGATTTAAGTGTGGGGGAGAGACATAAACATTTTGTTTTCTTTGTTTTAATTTTGAAAAAAAATCAATAAAATATAGAAAAAATTTTAAGTTTTGTTTTGTTTTGTTTAAGGTTACACAATGACCTAGCTCTTTGAATGGATAGTTTGATGCTTGAGATATAGTAATTTTTAGGATTGAATAGGTGTGAAGTGAACATTCTTTTACTTTGAATTAATGAATTAGAGTGACACATTATCCTTTCATGGAAGAAGCCAAACATTCATGTGTGATTAGTTCCTTAGTGATATTACCCTCTATAATTTGTTTCACTTCTTAATTGAGACCACTTTTGCACTTGCTTGATAGAAAATGAAAGATGGCATTAATAAAAAAATAGTCAAGATCCAAAAAGCCAAACCATTATTATTGATTATCCTTTATTAGCCATTTTGAGCTTTTAGTTTGATTCATAAATAACTATTCACCCTATTAAGGGATGTATGTTACACTTTTATATCTTTTTAATATAAATTGTATGTCCTAGATCAAGAGAGTGGATGTCTGTTGTCATTTTTCTATCAATTACTTTTTATCCTCCATTGTTACACTATTATATCCATTGTTTTCATTATTTTTTCAAAGAGTTAGGGGCAACCAAAAGAAAAAAAAAGATTTGAAAATATATATACATACATATATATACATATATATATATATAGAAAAGAAAGAAAAAAAGTTGCTATAAAAAGAAACAAAAAGAAGAAGAAAAAAAGTTGAAAAACAAAAGAAAGAAAAGAATAAAAAGTTACTTAGCTCATCTATTCCATTTGTTTCATTATTTCTTGTCATTTCTCTCCATCCTCCTTGTGTTTAGTGTCCACTCAATTGGATTAGGTTATGCTTTGCATATTAGGGAATGTATCTTGATCATAGCATTATTTTAATGCTAACCTTATCTTCTTACATGCATTTCTTAGTTATCCTTTCATTACCCACATTACAACCTAATAAAGTCTACTTGACTCTTGATTGCAAGTCCTAATTTAGTGGTGGAGATGTAGAAGGGTTACAAGCTTACGGTAGGGTTTATCTTAAGGAATTTTGAGTAAAATTGAATACCTTATGCACTTTGAGTGATGAGAGCAAACACTTAACCTAGAGAGGCTTACTCTTTGGCATTGATTCTTGGCAAGGGTTTGTTTGTGATGTGCATAATTCTTTCTTAATTATTACCACATTGATTGATAATTTGTATAAGTTCTTGAGCTAGTGATTTAGTGACTTTGAGCATTATTTTTTCTCTTGCTTCTTTGTTTTAGTGTTTCTTTTGGGATCTTTTTCACATGATTTTTCCTAGAGTGCAAAATATAAGTATGGGGGAATTGATAGAACATATTTGTTACACACTTATTTATGTCAATTAGGACCATTTTATTGAGGCTTTATTATCCAAAGTGCACACACATTGTATTAGATTTGGAAAATTGCTTAAGTGTCTAGGTTTAGTGCACTAGGAATATTTTAGTCTAAAAATGAACTTTTGAGAAAATGTACAAGAAAAATTGAAAAAATAAATTTTATGTCTAGAAGATGAGTGATCAAATTATATTTTTGAAATTTATTTTAACTTGGGAGTAATTAAATAAAAAGTTAACACTTTCTTAAGTGTCTTAATTTGACCTAGTTTTCGGTTTGTCTTTGTGTGAAATTTTTTATGTAATTTTATAAAGCCTGAAACTTGGTTATTTTAATAAATTTTCCCTTCTAATTATGAATTTAACTCTAGAATTTAATTATATTTTATTATGTCACATATTATTTAATTGAATTATGTGATTTATGTGACATAGGTGGCA